CTTTAATGTGTTTCCATGTTTTTCTGAAGGAACGTATACTTCTTTAAATTAACTATTCTGACTGCAGTAATGAACTGAACTGTCACAGTAACTCTGGAAAAGATGAAATTCTGTTTCAAACAGATAAAGTAAATCAGATGTAATAATGTAGACTATTTATCAGTTCACAATTAGTGATTGTCATAAAATTATGCTGTGTAAATACTACAGGAATGATTGGAAGACATAAAAGCAAAAGCAAGCTGAAGCTGACGTCAAAGTGCATTAAAAGCAAGATTAAGTTTCTTTTCAGGAAGAGACAAGCAAGTCTTAACGAGCAAACAATTAAACTCTCTGTGGTAGATGACACATTTAAGATGTTTGCCGAGGGTCAAAGTGATCATTGCTGGAGATTGGATAGTGTCAAAATTTAAATGTACAAAATCTTTATACGTTAAGTATATAAAGAAGGCTTGCCTCAGCACACAGTTAGTTAGGTCAGGAAGAAGGTAGTCTGATCACTGGCTACAGGTGGGGAAAAAGTAGGCGGATCATCTGTTCTGGTCTGATCTTCAGACAAGTTCATGTAAACAGACTCATTTGTGATTGTGTGCATGGTGTAGCTAAGATTTGTTTGCAATATTTTTTTAGTGTATTTTGCTTTAATAAAGAATATTAGGTATATCCTGTTATAGAACTGCCTTAGGTTATTAATATTCAAAGTAAACCCATAGAAAGTCTACACCTCAGCCACACTGAATACACATTGTGCACCATTTTGGATCTCTAGGACACTTCTCGCACCTGGACAGCTACACATGCCATGCTCGAGGAGTTTGAGTTCTGGTTTTGGGAGCTTGAGCAGCAGCTGATATCACTTAATTTTTCAAAATACCTTTTGAAGTGCAATCACTGTCATCATTTAGAGAATGCAGTGCCCAATTTATTTTTTAGCAAGATCCCACAAAACCAGTGTGATAATGATCAGATATTGTTTTACATAATGTTGACTGTGGGCAAATATTAATTGCTGAAAAAGATTGGGATGAATGGTGTTAAATGTCATTTATAAAGGCACAGATTAGTTAAGTACAGTCAGCATGGATTTTTAAGGGGAGGGCATGTCTGCCTAAATTGATGGAATTTTTCTGAACGAACAAGGTGGGTTAACAAAGATAGTGTCTAAGGTTTTGGAGTAGATCTGTAGCTCGGGTTGTGGTTGGTTGACTCGCCGAGCTGGTTTGTTGTTCCGCAGACGTTTCGTTACCGTGCTTGGTAACATCCTCAGTGCAGCCTCTGATGAAGCGTCGGTGTGTTTTCTCGCCTGGTTTTTAAACTCTGGGGTCCGTTGCGATGGATTGCCTCACTTCCGGGTTTCCTCCGTAGTGGAATGTATATGGGGTCAAGTTCAATGTGTTTATTAATAGCATGCTTCGTGGAGTGCCATGCTTCCAGGAATTTTCATGCTTGTCTCTGCCTAGCCTGTCCCGGGATCTTGGTGTTGTCCCAGTCGAAGTTGTGGTTCTCCTTGTCCATGTGGATCGAGATGAGTGAGTATTGGTCGTGTCTTTTTGTAGCCATTCGGCGTTCATGTACTCTTGTTGTTAGTTTCCTTCCTGTTTGTCCGATGTAGTGTTTACAGTCTCCCTACCAGGCACTCCATCGCACAGATTAGCCAGAGAACCACAAAGAAGACTCAAGCACCTAGTCAACAAATCACCCCACTCCATCCACTCAGCCCAAGAATTCCTCAACTCCATCAAAGACATAAAGATAGAGGACGAAGAGACCATGATACCGTTTGATGTCACTGCCCTATTCACATCAATAGACATACCACTAGCAAGGGAAACAATGACAACACTACTTGAACAAGAACACAACCCCAGTGAAACCATCTCCACGGACAACATGCTTAAACTACTGGACCTATGCCTGACCACCCACTTCACCTTCAACGGCCAAACATATGAGCAAATCAACGGAACACCCATGGGATCGCCTATCTCCGGACTCAAAGCAGAAGCAGTGATGCAAAGACTGGAAAGGATTGCCCTTCCACAAATCCAACCTAAACTATGGATACGCTACATAGACGACACCTTTGTCATCATTAAACGGGCCAAATTAGAAGAGACACACAAACTCATAAACAACACCCTCACCGGAATAAAATTCACCAGAGAGGAGGAGAAGAACAAACAACTCCCATTCCTGGATGTCATGGTACAGCGCAAGACAAATGGGGAACTGCAAACGAAAGTACACCGAAAAGCCACACACACAGACCAGGTATTGAACTTCAATAGTAACCATCCCAGCACACACAAACGAAGCTGCGTGCGAACACTATTTAAAAGGGCAACAACACACTGCAACAACATGGAACTACGCCACGAGGAGGAGGAATACCTCTTCCAAGTGTTCAAGGATAATGGATATCCAAAGAACTGGGTCACGAGATGCCTACAGGAACAGCATCAGAAAGATTCTACATGCCCCGACACACTCATCACACTACCCTACATCAGGAACACGTCAGAACTCACCACAAGACTTCTACGACCGCTGGGCATCAGAGTGGCACATAAGCCCACATCAACCCTACGACAAGTGCTCACCCGAATTAAAGACTCACTCCCCGCCATGGACAGGACCAATGTCATCTACAAGATCCCCTGCAGAGACTGCAAGAAACACTACATTGGACAAACAGGAAGGAAACTAACAAGAGTACATGAACACCAACTGGCTACAAAAACACACGACCAATACTCACTCCTCTCAATCCACATGGACAAGGAGAACCACGACTTTGACTGGGACAACACCAAGATCCTGGGACAGGATACGCAGAGACAAGCATGAAAATTCCTGGAAGCATGGCACTCCACGAAGCACGCTATTAATAAACACATTGAACTTGACCCCATATACATTCCACTACGGAGGAAACCCGGAAGTGAGGCAATCCATCGCAATGGACCCCAGAGTTTAAAAACCAGGTGGGAAAACACACCGACGCTTCATCAGAGGCTGCACGGAGGATGTTACCAAGCATGGTAACGAAACGTCTGCGGAACAACAAACCAGCTCAGAGAGCCAACCAACCTCAACAAAGACAGTGCGTTTGATCCAGTCTACATGGATTTTAGCAAAGGTTCCACATGACAGACTGGTCAGAAAAATAAAACACCATGGGATCCAAGGGTAATTAAGAATTTAATCCAAAATTGTTTCAGTGGTCAATGGATGTTTTTGTGACTTTAAGGCAGTTTCTGGGGGTATTTCACAAGGTGTAATATGAAGATCTCCTGTGTTTATCATGGTATATATTAATTATTCATAATTATATGTAGGTGGCATGAATAAAAAGTTTGCAAATGGTACAAGAATTGACCATGTGGTTGATTGTGTGGAAGAAAACTGGTGAATTTTTAAAAAAAAACCTTCATGGGATGTGGGTGTCGCTGGCTAGGCAAACACTTATTGCCCATCCTTAATTGTCCAAAAGCAGTCAAGAGTGAATCACATTTTGGTGGCTGGCATCATATATAGGCCAGACTGAGTAAGAATTTATTTAGATTTCCATTTTTCTACAGGTCCTTTCCATAGATTCCTTTCTCTAAAGAACATGAGTAAACCAGATGGGTTTTTACGACAATCAACAGTGGTTTCGTAGTCACAAGTAGACTAACTTTTTATTCTAGATTTTCACTGAATTCAAATTTCACCATCTGCCATAGTGGAATTCAAAACCATGCCTCCAGAAAATTAACCCAGTGGATGTTTGAGATTTATACCTTATCCATCTCAATGGTGCTGGAGATAGAAACCCTGACAGCTTCTAAAAAGTATTTGGATATACATTTGAAGTGCATTTAATTTCAAATTACACATGTAACCTATAAGGCTATACAGCAAGAACTGCAAAATGTGATTAGTTCTTTTTCAACCAGTACAAACACAACGAGTTGAATGGCCTTATCCTATACTGTAAATTTGTATGATGCTATTCTTACACTATTATGATTCCAACACAGATTTCCCTGTTGAATAAACATATTGGAAAAATATCAGGGAAATACAATTTTAAGAGTGTGAGGAGGTAAATTTTGGCAGCAGGAATAGGGAGAAGTAATCTAGGCTTAATGGTATACTTGTATATAGCTTACAAGGACACAGGGGCTTGGCGGCTAATCAGCACAGATATTTCAAAGTAATATCTATTGGGAGAGACAGTAGCAAAGCATATGCGAGCTTGGTCTTCATACATCATTGGTAATTAATACAAAAACAGGAAAATTATGGTTAACCTATCCAAATCTCTGCTGCTCAACAAGAATAAAACTTATGCTCTATCTGTATGAAGCTCTGATGAGGCTCCACGCGAGTTCTGCAGCCAATTTTGGTAATCACACCTCAAGAAAAGTGCTGAGGAGGTTTACGACAATGGTTCCAGGGATGAGAGATGTTGGTTACATTTTAGATTGGAGGATCTGGGTTTGTTCTCCTTGGAGCAATGATGATTGAGGAAAGATTCAGTTGAATTGTACAGGGCTGCTAGATTTATTTAAAGTCGGCAAAGGTAAAGCTGTTCTCATATGCTGATGGTACTTTGGAATACTGATTTAAAGGGGGAAAAGCACAATAAGGAAGAGATTTTTCTCAAATAATAAAGTGACTTGTGCTGCTAACAAGAGTGATGGATTCAGACAATAAATAATTTGTAAAGGAAATCGAATGGATATTTTAGGGAAATCAATTACCCTACAGGGCTGCAGGGATACAGCAGTAGAATGGGAGTGGTTGGATTGTTCTAGAGGGAGCCAACATGACTCAACAGACTAAATGGTCTCCTTCTGTACTGTAATGAACTTTTGTTCTATAAAGAGGCTCAACAACTTTCGAAAATTCCTAATAGCCATGTTAAATTAGTAAATATATTAAACAGATACTATCCAAGATTCAACGTCAACTCATTCTGATCACACTCTATTCTTTAATTGCAAATCACTTACCACTTGGCCATTTTGTGGGTTCTTATGGGCATATGGAGGGCCTCTAATGTGATTCCACATTTGTCCAGAAGTCATGGCAAATACCACACACTGTGAAAAAATAAAGATGAACTAAACATCAATCTTCACTTTGTTAGTCTTAATTTATACATGCCAACTTTTCAACCTCAGCAAAAAGAAAATGGCATTATGAGTTCCTGTTCCAGTAACGGAAGCTGGTCTAAACAAATTTTTCATTTTAGTCTACTTGTCCAATTAGAGTTGTTTGTAACAGCTGATAGTTGCAATGGCTGCCAATGAAAATATTGCACCAACCAGCTATGTGTAAAGATACATACATATGACGACATTAAAATTGGAGGTGTAGCGGACAGCGAAGAAGGTTACCTCAGAGTACAACGGGATCTCGATCAGATGGGCCAATGAGCCAAGGAGCCAAGGAATGGCAGATGGAGTTTAGATATGCGAAGTTCTGCATTTTAGAAAGGCAAATCAGGGCAGGACTTATATGCTTAATGGTAAGGTCCTGGGGAGTGTTGCTGAACAAAGAGACGTTGGAGTGCAGGTTCATAGTTCCCTGAAAGTGGAGTCACAGGTTGAAAGGATAGTGAAGAAGTCATTTGGTACGCTTGCCTTTACTGGTCAGTGCACTGAGTATAGGAGATGGGAGGTCATGTTGTGGCATTGTTTCAGCCACTTTTGGAGTATTGCATACAATTCTAGTCTCCCTCCTATAGGAAGGATGTTGTGTAATTTAAGAGTGCTCAGAAAAGAATTACGAGGATGTTGCCAGGGTTGGAGAGTTTGAGCTATAGGGAGAGGGTGAATAGGCTGGGGCTATTTTCCCTGGAGCATCAGAGGCTGAGGAGTGACCTTATAGAGTTTTATAAAATTGTGAGGGGCATGGATAGGATAAATGGGCAAGGTCTTTTCCCCAGGATGGGGAGTCCAAAACTAGTGGCCCCTCAGGAATTCAATACCTATTGCATGCAATTCTGGTCTCCCTTCCAAAGGAAGGATGTTGTGAAATTTGAAGGCTTATAAAAGATTTACAAGGATGTTGCCAGGATTGGCTGAATAGGCTTGGGCTATTTTCCCTGGAGTGTTGGAGGCTGCGGGGTCACCTTAATAGAGGTTTATAAAATCATGAGAGGCATGGATAGGGTAAATAAGCAAGGTATTTTCCCCTTGGTGAGGGAGTCCAAAACTAAAGGCCATTGGTTTAAGGTGAGAGGGGAAAAGATATAAAAGGCACCTAAGGAGCAACTTTTACCATGCAGAGGGTGCTGTGTGTATGGAATGAGCTGGCAGAGGAAGTGGTGGAGGATGGTACAATTGCAACATTTAAAAGGCATCTGGATGGGTACATGAATAGGAAGGGTTTAGACGGATATGGGCCAAATGCTGGAAAATGGGACTAGATTTACATAGGATATCTGGTCGGCATGGACAAGTCGGACCGAAGGGTCTGTTTCCATGCTGTATATTTCTATGACTCAATTACTCTAATACCAGCTATTGTTGCCACTTTATAATTCATGACCAGTTGTTGTTGTCCCTCTGTACTATCAGCAGTTATTGCCCCCCTGTGTAATTCACTATGAGCTATGGTGTTGCTCTGTAGTTAACTATGTCTGTAATTCACTACCAGCTTTTGTTGCCCCTTTGTAATTTACAACCTGAGGCTGTTGCCTCTCTGTAATGCAAGAACAGCAGATTCATCCCCGGTATTTTTCACTTCCAGCTGTTGTTGCAATGTAATTCACTACCTGCTGTAGCTCCTCTGTAATTCAATTATATATCGTTGACCCTCCCATAATTCACTACTACCTGATGTTGCCCCTGTACAATTCACTACGAGCATGGCTGGCTCATCTGTAATTCATTACCAGCTTTTGTTTCCGCCACCGTAATTCAACAGTAGCTGTTGTGGTAATTCTGTAATTGATTACCATTCTAATTCACTCCCAGCTGTAGCGGCCCCTCTAATTCACAACCAACTCTTGTAGCCCCTCTATAATACCGGACAATGTGGTGTTGGCCCTCTGTAATGCACTGCCATCTACTGCTGCCCCACTCTAATTCACTCTGTGTTGTTGTTGCCCCTCTGTAATTTACTGTCAGCTGGTACTGGCCTCTGTATTTCAGTACCAGCTAATGGTTGACCTCTATAATTCACCAACAGCATTTGTTGCCTCTTCGTAATACACGACAATCTATTGCTGTCCTTTATAATTCTAGTATTACCTCTCTGTCATCCTAGTTGGTGTTTCCCCTGTGCTATGCATTACCAACTGCAGTTGTGCCTCTGTCATTCACTATCAGCTGTAATAGTCCCTTTGTATTTCACTACCAGCTATTACTGACCTATGTACTTCATGACCAGCTGGTTTTGCCCCTTTGTAACTGGCTATCATTTATTATTTCCCCTCTGAAAACCAGCTGAACGTGGTGCTTGACATGAGGCTAAAGCTCTCTAGCTTGGAACTAGATATTTCCTCATTCGTGTTTCATCGCAATAAGTGCCATTCATCCCATTAATTCCAACTAGATGTTTGATAGTGCTAAGTAGAAGCAGCTGGAAAAGGCCTGGTAGGTGCTTCGCAGGGTCTTTTGCCCAATAAGTGGTCTGTAGTCTATAGTGCTGAGAGCTGCTGTTCTAAAGTACAGTCAGTGGCGTGAGTATCCGTTTTTCAGAATTAAATACAATGAGTTTCCTCCAAGTCTGCTTACTATGTCAATTTAGCAGCATTTGTCCCGGCATTAAATCAGAGGAGAAATTTGCAGCAACCCAGTGCATTTTCATTCCTGTAGATTCCAGAAGAAATACCCTCAAGTTTGTCGATTGGGTTTTACATGATATTTTGTGTTAATTCAGGTGAGATCCATTCTTTATGGGGATGAACCAGAATTACTTTCCATTTCATGCAGCAAGTCAATATCAGCATCAAGTCCACTTAGATCAAATAAAAGTGGGATACCATGTGCCCGAACAACATGCCTCAAAAAGGACACTCCATGCCGTGGAAAGGCTGCCAACACCGTCAAAGACCCATTGCACCGCAGTAATGATCTCCTACAACCTCTTCCATCAGGCAGAAGATACAGAAGCCTGAACACATGCACCAGCAGGTTCAGGAACTGCTTCTTCCCGGCTGTTATTAGACTGATGAATGGACTCCCTAGCCTCAAATAACACGGATCTTGCTAAAGTTGGTCTTGCTTAGCGCAACCCCTGTGCAATATAATCTGTATGCCTCTGTCTCAGTCTTTTTGACCTATACATCCTTGCTTACTATGATCTGCCTGTACTGCTTGTAAACAAAGCTTTTCTCTATACTTCGGTACACATGACAATAAATCAATCAATCAATCGATTTAACATACTTTGTTGGGTGTAGCTTTGGGTACATCAAGGTGCTCTTTTGAAGTGATGACAGTAAGCCACAAGAAGAGTCATGTTGCTTGAACTGAAATTCTTACTAACTAAATATGTGGCATATTGATAATCAAAGGCAGAAATCTGCAACTCAACTGTCATACAGGCTGCTGATAGTTGCATGGTCTAGAGGACAATCAGGGGAGAATATAGGTCAGGTATATTTTTCTTGCGCGCCTTTGAAAGGCAGAGTGAGATGTAGGAACAGATGTTCTGATGAAGTGCTACTGGGCTTGAAGCATTAACTCTGTTTTTCTCTCAACAGATGCTGCCAGATCTGCTGTGTTTCTCCAGCACTCAATTTTTGTAGGGACAAGTACAGACACTCAAAAAACCCATCAAAAACTAGCAAAAAACAATTGCAATTCATGTTACCACTGAACACAATATCACTAAATTTGCAACAAAGATTTGGAATAGCAATTTAACTCCACAGTCATCTGAATACGTACCAAAGCAGCCATGGCCCATCCTGTCTTGTTATAGATGAATTCCAAGTTATTTCTCCGTAGATATAATAATCCACCCACGAGCGAAACTAGAAGAGCTAAGGCAATGGTTCCTGAGTAGTTAGGAGGCCTGAATACACGAATCTGAAAAACAAATATTCATATCATCCACAAGGACACCCTTATTTATGTCTCTCTTAATGTGAATTGCAGTTGAGATGCAAAAGCTGGACTCAACTTTAATGCAAGTTTCTGGGAATAATCAACACGAATGCTTTAAACTGAATTTTTATGTTCTCAGAAATTGGTGAGATGTTTTTAATACTCCCGTAACTCAAAAATTTTGGTGTACCCCAAAAAGTACTGTGCAATTTTGAAGCAAATTCCAAAGGACCACAGTTGCACTGTGTTATGGGTTCTTTGTCTGAAAATAACTAAACAAGCTGTAAGATGATTTGCATTCAAATTGCTGGATTGCTTTATGCTTACATAAAAACTTTGCAATGGTAAGGTTACTGTACGACCAAATGTTCATGATATAAACTTGCCATGTCAAAACTAATGCCAGATATATGACATCAAAACCTATAATAGAAGCCAGGGACTTATTCCAATAATGGAATGAAACCGAGGGAAAAAATGTTCTGAGGAAGGGTCCCCGGACCCGAAACCTTAACTCTGTTTTCTCCTCCACAGATGTTGCCAGACCTGCTGAGTTTTTCCAGCAACTTTGTTTTTGTTCCTGAAAAAATATTCTGTTATCCACAGTGGTAACCATAAGATTACTGGATTGTTATAAAAAGATCCTTAGGTAAGGAAAACTGTTGATCTTGTCCAGTATGAGTTTCACAAAAAGCTCACAGTGTAGGGGCTAACAGATTGGCATGGGCAGAAGATTAGTTTGCTAACAGGAAGCAGAGAGTAGGAGTTAGTGGGTCTTTTTCAGGCTGTCTGGATGTCACAAGTGGTGCGCTACAGGGGGTCAATCCTCGGGCCTCAGCTTATTATAATTTTTATAAGTGAGTTGTGAAGAGGACATAAGGAGTGTACAAAGATACATAGATAGGTTAAGTGAGTGGGCAAAGATGCTGCAGATGGAGTACAATGTAGGAAAGTATGAAATTGTTCACTTTGGCAGAAAGAACGAAAGGAAGCATATAATTTAAATGGTATCAGACAGCAGAGATCGGAGATGAGGAGAAATCTGGGTATCCTGGTGAATGAATTACAAAAGGCTAGTACGCAAGTAATCAGGAAAATGAATAAAATCTTACAGTTTATTGTGGGGGGAATTGAACATGTGTGGAAAGATTATGCTTTTGTTTTACAGGGCATTGGTCAGACTACATCTGGAGTTTAGTACTGGTCACCATAAATGTGGAAAGATGTTAATGTTTTGGAGCAAATACAAAAGAATTTTTCAAATTTTCCATCCATTGTATCTAAGCAGGTCAACAAGGTCTAAAAGGTATCCATAACACGTAAGCTTACAGAACCCAGTCCAAAAGTGTATCTTGCCCAACTAACATACCACACTGATGTCTACAGAAATGCAGAAGGCTTTCCCTCCATCGAAGTGATATACCCTAAAAGGTATGGATTAAACATGCATTAAGTGCCAAAATCAGCACTGCTGCCAGTGTAAGTATCAACTCTTCACTGATCTTACACAGGATATAGTCGGGAAAGTAGCACAGCATGCTGTAGCGCACACAAGAAAAGCTAGCTGCTATCCACGGGTCTAACATCCCATTTATTGACTGTACTTGTCTCAACTGCTAATACTAATACAAATCCTTAGGATGGGCATGCAAAAATTGTTACATCATTGAAGTAAATGGACCACCTAATATTGGTCTACAAGTATGCAAGGATTTACACATGGTACATAAACAATCTCCAAATCCCTCCGTTGCAACACCAGAGATTTCAGACTGCAACAATAGCCATGACCCACCCTTACTGGTTTGATGCTATCAACAACTTTAAAGGGTGATACAGTACTACATCTGACAGATGATGCTCAACTGACCATCAACTCTCTTTGGAAGCACAACAATCAAGAAGGGCTTAAACTGGAAATGGATTCCATGGTACAAAACAGCATCATCCAGAAAATCAAGCATCATATTAATTAGTGCAGCTTCATTATATATTTTTGTTGACTGATGGTACTGTAAATGTTGGGGCAGCCCATGGCCAGAGGTGGCACATGATGGCTGCCTGTGGATTTTTAGTTGGCATGAATATGTCAGAGAAGATTTTTAGCTGCAGTGCAAGAATTAGCTTGCTTGGTTTTGTATTAAAGTGTAATCATAAGTTAGGACAATGATAGCTTTGTGAAGCAGATAAATTCAAGGTAACAGGGTCTAGGCAGAACAAAGAATTGTACAAATTAATATACATCCAATTCTGTATAAACCATAGCTGCAGATGTCTGTAAGAGACATTCTGATTAGAGATGTCTAGGAACAGCCAGCTCAAAGTTTGTAGTTTAGCAAGGATTAAAAGTAAAGTATGATCCCAAAACAACATAGACAGATGATAAGTTAAAAGGAGAATCAGATTATGCTTTTTAAATCCTAGGAATTCAGACAAGATTATTGAACTGTCAAAGTGACCGAGTTTCAGCCTTATTAATGGAACAGATGTTGTCTTATTAAGTAAAAGACTTAGTTTAGAAATATCTAGGAGTAGGGTCAATGCATTTCAGCTAAGAAGACAGCATGTGACTAGAATCAGTAATAGGGTCAGCTGGGGCAGAAGCCACTCAACTCTGGCTAAAGAATTCTAACATTAGGTGTAACCATATAACTAACTTTATATTAGAACTGATATGATGAATTTTATAGCAATTAGTAGGAATTAGCATCTTCTTATATCTCCTGTGATTAGGATAGTAGGAAATACAAGATGAGTAACAAAATTTAATAAGGATACAATGAATAACAGAATTTGAAATAAGCAAGTCTGACAATTGTCTGAGAAAGAATATAACTGTTAACACCGGAATGTAAATTAATAGGGTAGGTTGTGAAATCCCAAGGTCTAATGATAATGATGTTTGAAAATATCTTGAGATCATGGCTGTCCATAGGGGCATCCATCATGGATTGAGTATTTTACAGGATTGAATGTATAGGTTAGGGGATGGAACAATGACATCAACATTGAATGCAATTATTGCAACACAAAATATATAAAATTACTGTATTCAGCTAGGGAAGCCAGAGTGTCATTGACCTCTCCTTCCATCTGAGTAATGAAGAGGGCGATTGGGCTCCATGTGAAAGTCAGATTCAGAGCGGCCTCTCCCACACATGTGGTAAAAGAGATCTGAATAAATATCAATTGTGCTAAACACACAACCCAAGACTCCTCTTTGACATCTCACCCCAACAGTAAGTATATGTTTAGATCCATCGCAACTGAACGTGTTAAATGACGCCCACACAAGATTCATAATCAGCATAATCCCAAATTCTCAGGTTGCAAGCACTTTTCCAAGACTGATACCAAGAATAGATATTGTTTCATAAATCTACTCTTGGAGTCACATGAACTGACTTCTTGAACAACCTTCAGTTGATGTTGTTTCTTCAGATCACCATCTGGATTATTTTAAAGGGCACATTCTATATCGGTGAGAATCTATTAGGTTATCTCTGTTACACAAATGACATTACAGTTCTTGAAAGAAGTAAGATGGGCAAGATACAAGCCTCAATTTAGCTTGTAATAGTGGCAAGGAAACATCCAACTGTAACAAATGTCAGATCAACTTTGGTTTAAATTACTCATCAACCCACCATTAAACTTGACCCATCTACAACCGAAAATGTATGTATATAAAGATTAGGTGGGTGTTTTTGATCAGCATGGATGTGATGGGCTGAAGTGTTTTTTTTCCTGTACTGTTGATCCCCATGACTATGTGATGTCTATGCTGCAAGAAAGAACTAAGATATCTGTTTGTTTCATATTTTATCCCCACATATTCTGAATTTTGCAACCAAGGCATCTTCTCCTGGAGATCTCCACAAAAATATATTGTACATATAGGTGGAAGATACCTGCATATTTTTCAATCTCTCAAAAATGCTCCATGATCCAGTAAATGCATACTTCAATATTATGATCTTGTTTCGCTCACCATACTGGAAGTAGATGAATCCCAGAGAGGCCTTGGAGCATTTACATTACAAGATGACAAGTCTATTGCGTTTAGTTCTCAGGTCCTTACAGCAGTCAGGCGAACTACTCCTACACTGAAAGAGATATTCTTGCTCTGGTTTTCAGGATAGTGCTTTCACACATTTCTATTCAACAAGCTATTAATTGTTCTATTCACTATTCCTATTAGCCACAAACCATTAGAAATAATCTGTCAAAATCCTCTCAAGTGCATCATGATGATCATCATATATACTTGTGAAAATTCAAGGGTCAAATTTAAAAGTACAATAAAAATTAGGTTCCCAATGACCATCTCCAATGCTTTTAGCTGACTTCCAAACCTCATTCAGAACAAAGATATTCCTTTAAACCAATTATTGATGCAATTCTCAACTGGAAAATAGTCGTAACATTGATCACATACACACTGGTTATTGCTAAGCAGAAAGAATTTACCAAGCCATGTCAGATAATTACCAGTTGCAATAGATGATCAACAGAAATCATCATCCACCAGTTTCCTAAGCTAACATGTCTGTACTGGGCATTCAGAGACAAACCAGGATTCTCCAGGAATGCAATCTTCAAAGGCAAGCAAATTGTAATTCTGCAAGCTCTACATCAGGACACGCTACACTACGTACATATAGGACATACGGAATAGATAAAGAGGCTGGCACATGAATCCATGTATTTCTCAGCGTTCAGAAAGTCATTGATGATCTAATCAAGTCATGTGAAACACATCAATTACATTAACCACAAGGGTTAAGAGAAGCTCTCTCTTTTCTCCGCATAACATCTTTTCTGAGTCATCATTCCAGATTGTGACTGATATTGTGGTGATTACATTCTGGTGACTATTTCATTAAATACCTTTTCTCGTGACAAATCAAAGATAATACCAGTGCAACAATTGTTGACATGTTGATTGCCATATTTGGTGCACATCAACAAATCCTGTTTGGAACAATGATCCACACAAACTCCCATCACCAAACTGCATGCAAAATAACATATTGAAAGTAGGATGTAAATGGAGTGGGCGCACGATCAATAAGCATGCAGTTATTGCAACTTAAAAGAAGGAATGAAGCATTTGAGAAAAAAAATGTGTTCTAAATGTTCATCTGAACATTGCAGTTCGAAAAAGATACTGCATTGTTTTGTTCAGACTAGCTCATATGATATTGTAACGAGTAACAGTCAGGTCTTGCGAAGAAATAGGTGCTACATCTTGCGAAGAAATAGGTACTACATCCCAACTAAATATCAACTGGATGATGACTTGGTCGTTGAAGATATCATGCCAGACAATAGTCACACATCTACAACAAACGGTATGCATCCATCCAAAATGTCAGCACACTTGGAGTGAAGCTTCACTGCCAATCCATAAGAACTACATAAACAGTGGATCTGATCATGTTGTATGTCTTCCAAGGTTATCTGAATGTATAGTGACAACATAGCATGCATCCTCCCATATGTCATTGGAAGAGGGTTCCCCTACTTTAAAAGGAAATGAGTTTATGTAAACGGCATAGATTGTAGACAGGCCTGTAGATATTTTCTAATCAAACTGCTCAGGCATGTTAGGAAATGCATCTCTGGAGTGGGTGGGACTTGAACAGAGGCCTCCCTGCTCAGGGGTTGGAACACTACCACTGCATAACAAGGGCCCCCAGACCTATGTCTTTAGCACAGATACATGACATCATGGCACGTGATGTTCTGGTAAAGATTACTCATCAACCTACCATTAGACTTAACCCTTCCAAAATAGAAAATGTACATATGTAGAACAATTAGATGGGTGTTTTTGACAAGCAAGGATGCTAATGGGCCACAGTGTTTTTTTTCTGTGCTATAGATCTTCATGACTCTATGATGTCTATGCTGCAAGAAAAAGCCAACTTACACAATGTGTCTCTATTTGATTCATTTTTATCCCCACATATTTTGAATTTTGCAACCAAGGCACCTTCTCCTGGAGATCTCTTTTTGATTGAGTTGATAGCGCTGTGTTTTCTATGTTGACCCCAATTTTAAAAAAAATTCAGGGGATATGAGCAGCATTTCACCTTTAGTCTCTCTTTTTGTGTCATGTCAGTGTTGTATGTTCAGTCAGTTAGCTCTGTGTACGCTAAGTACAGTAAGATCAGTAAGCAGTGAACCCATACTGTAAGTCTGATATCGTAGCTGTGCAAATAGTTAATGTTTCTCATAAATTTCAAGACATCTGCCTGTACAAGAACCTGGAATTCACTTTGTATGTTACATAAGTTAGTATATAGAAAACCACAAAACTCATCATGTACCATCTGCAAAGGTCATTCTAACAACTCACCACAGCTCCTTTGATAGCACTTAGCAAACCTGTGACTTCTACCACCTAGAAGGACAAGTGCAGTAGACACAAAGTTAGAACACCACTTGCAAGTTTTCTTCCAGTTTACACACTAGATTGACTTGGAAATATAACATTGTTCATTCATCTTCACTGCATTGAAATCCTGGAATTCCCCCTGTAACAGCATCATAGGAGGAAGTACCATCATTACGTGGACTGTAGAGGTTCAAGGTGGTGGCTCATGACCATCTTCTTCATAGCAACAAGGGCCAGGAAATAAATGCTGCTCATATCCCTTGAATTTATTTTTTCAAGATTGGGGACAACACAAAATGCAGCATTAAAAAAACTATCAAATAGAGACATGTTACTGCACAAGCAGCAACACAGTTAAATGGTAGAAGATTCACAAATATTAATATTCTTAGTGAAGCATTAATTCCACTAACATTAAATAAGCTAAACTTTCATTGAACATTTTTAAAGAGCTTACATGCACATCAGTTCTGTCAGCTATCCACTTTGCAAGCTGTTCAGCGGCAAATCCAATTCGCTGCAGGTCAAAGGTGTCAGCTCTCTTAGGCTTGCCCTTTGGTGGAAAATGCATGAATGTCGGGGCAGAATTCATGTTTAGCTGCAAAAGAAAGAAAGTGCGTCTGGATATGTTAATTAACCTTTCCTCAATTTGTGCACATCACATTGTCATTTTGATCATCATATGAGTTTAGTTATTGTTGTGAAGATGCCATGGGATTGAAATTGGTCTACATAACAAATAAAATAGCAATGACTTTATTTTTAACCATACCAGCTTTGATTTTCCACTAACAAGAAAATATTGCCCAAACTGTTAATTTCAAAACAAGTAGATGTGACAGTGAGACCAAGAAATCAGTTTCCATAAATAATTTGAACTATTGTTTGATGAGTTTTAGTGGATAGAAGATAGAATGCAGTGAAAAATCATTTGGGAATATGTTACAAGCCTATTTGTGCTGCTAGCATCAACCAATTCACACCTATAACTTTTATTGGAAAGATGTTGATTATGATTGAATTGCGTTGCGGTAAGTGAAAATCATAATCCCCCCCACTTCAGTAAATCTCAATACTTAACCCATAATGCTACCTAAAATATGCTTATATCTGTACTAGCTGTAATCTTAAAACACAAATCACTATACCTCCCAAATCTTTTTTCTTGCATTAATATGGGTAGAAAGGATAATTTCATCTCCCACTTTTGGTAAATCCATAAGATAAATGGTTGGGTTCTAATCTCCAAGTGACTTGACAAGCCAGACTGCATAGTTTCTGAGGTAGTAGGAACTGCAGGTGCTGGAGAATCCGAGACAACAAGGTGCAGAGCTGGATGAACACAGCAGGCCAAGCATTCTGCTCCTATGATGCTGCATAGTTTCTACTTTGACTCCTACTTCCACACATTACTCTTTACCAAAGGACACCTGGGATTTACTCCCATACAGAGCTACTTCTCTGCTTCCAGCACCGCACACCAAATGCAACCCCATCTTCCATCTCAAACAAAAGATCTTCTTACCTTTGTATGCTACAGTCCATGGCAGCATCAAACCTGTATGTTCTGCCTCTAATTAAATGGCCATTTTTATGTCAACTGACTATTGTTCAGTCAACGGTCAAAACTCCAGGCTCCAGATCAAGACTCCCAGTAACTACCATATTTTTTTAAAGAAAGATCTATAATTTCATCTTGATCTTTAACTCAGATTTGCTTCTTTTTATACCCCTCACTCACAACACTGCAAATGAAGATATTACCAATAAATTTTCACTTTTTGTAACCTTGATTATAATTTGAATCAGAATCAACATAATTTAAACATGTATTTGCATGCAAATCTGTTTCAAGTAAAAAAGTTTTATTTCTCTTTATTGTTTTTATTGGTCAGTGCATTGAGTGTAGGAGTTGGAACATCATGTTGCGGCTGTACAGGACATTGGTTAGGCCACTTTTGGAATATTGCGTTCAATGCTGGTCTCCCTGCTATAGGAAAGATGTTGTGAAACTTGAAAGGGGTCAGAAAAGATTTACAAGGATGTTGTCAGGGTTCAAGGGTTGAGCTTTAGGAAGAGGTTGAATAGGCTGGGGCTATTTTCCCTGGAGTGTCAGAGGCTACGGGTGATCTTAAAGAAGTTTATAACATCATGAGGAGCATGGATACGGTAAATAGACAAGGTCTTTTCCCCAGACTAGGAAAGCCCTAAAGTAGACGGTACAGGTTTAAAGGAAGAGGGGAAAGATTTAAAAGGGACCCAAGGGGTAACTTCTTCACAAAGGGTGGTGTGCGTATGGAATGAACTGCCAGAGGAAGTGATGAAAGCTGGTACAATTATAACATTTAAAAGGCATCTGGATGGGTACTTGAAAAAATGCTGGCATATGGGACTAGATTAATTCAGGATATCTGGTCAGCATGGTCGAGTTGGACTGAAGGGTCTGTTTTCTTGCTGTACTGCTCAATGACTCGAAACTGATACAAAGATCTGTGTTATGTCATCATAAGCAGCATATTACTCTTGTGGCAGGGTATGAAATTCTAAAGTTCTGCAAATCAGCCTCTGGAATGAATGATATTGCACTTTCCCCCTCAATTTGTTACAAGCAACTGCTTTCCATCTGAGCTCCCCAGAGACAATCATCACCCAAACTGCACACTCCTGCAAAAATTCAGATTTACAACAGACCTGATGGCACAGATTTTCCACAGACTCCATTAGACTGCTTTATTAATTATGTTCAACAGTCTAGTCTTGCTAAGCAAATGTGACACAACAGCAGTAAAATTACTTAATTCATAATCTCTGATCTAACCCTATCTTCAGCTTTCCATTCCATTTAAAGGCACTACACTTCTGTCTAACAGACTTATTTCCTTTTACACGTGCATTCTCTCTTCTCTCTTCTGCTGCAGCTTTGCTCTGTTCTTTATAGCAGTAGCTTCTTTTTCTGTTTTAGTGTGTCTAGTTACATAGCTGTTTGTATAGTGCTTCATTCTTGTTGGTACTGTTTCCACGTCAAGGGCTGGCATGTCACATGGACTAGTATTACTTGTTATTCAAGAAAATTACAACTGATCCCTTTAAAATTAATGCCAACTTTTAAAAGTTCGTTGCAAACATTCTTTAATACAAAGATTTCACGTACAATTGAAAGAAACTATAAATTTTCCATGCTGTACTGCTTCCAAGGTTGTCAAATACACATCTTAGTCTGTTTACACTCCACTCACAACACTCATCTTTCATTCATCTCACATTTTAGCACTGATTCCTTCCTGGTGACAAGACATCTAACAAACAGGTCCCTTTATAGTTAATCTTTCATAAAAGTCTCTAATATCCAACCATATATAGGTCAGTCAGCTGTCCTTCATCCAAGGATAACGTATACTTGGAGTCACCAGGTTTTTAACTCACTCAGAGATAGTAAGAACTGCCGATGCTGGAGTCTGAGATAACACAGTGTGGAGCTGGAGGAACACAGCAGGCCAGGCAGCATCAGAGAAGCAGGAAAGCTGACGTTTCAGGTTGGGTCCCGACCCAAAATGCCAGCTTTCCTGCTCCTCTGATGCTGCCTGGCCTGTTGTGTTCCTCTAGCTCCACACTGTGCTGTCACCAGGTTTTTTATGTGATTGAAAAGGCTAATTCTCAACCAACAGAATGTCCTAAGAGGTAATGAGATCCTAAGTGCAGGTTTTGGTTCCTTCTCTGCAACTACTCTGTCTTATTATTAAGTAAAAAATCACGTGACAACAGGTTATAGTCCAACGGGTTTATTTGAAATCACAAGCTTTCGGAGCAAATGAGCAGATTCCGAAAGCCTGTGATTTCAAGTAAACCCGTTGGACTATAACCTGGTGTCATGTGATTTTTGACTTTGTCCACTCTTGTCCAAAACCAGCACCTCCACATCTTATTATTAAGGCATTTGGACTTGAGCACAATGTTGCCGGCTGAACAAAGAGCCTGGTCTGCACACCTAATTCCCACACCCAAACTTCAACCTTTCAAATAGTTACGAAAATGTGTGTTTTACTAATGTGATTCAGTAGTTTTGGCAAAAAAAACAGACAGGATGGATAATAGTAATGCAGTTGATATCGTATGTTTGTATATTCAAAAGGCATTTGATGGACAACTACATGAAGATCCAAATTGTAGTAAAATTGCAACCCAAGTGATAAAAGAGTTAGTGGCAACATGAATACAAGATTGTCTAAGGGATAGAAAGCAGAAAGTTGTGGTTGGGATAGTTTAGTTTGGGATTACATTCAGCATGGACTGGTTGAACCGAAGGATGTGTTTCTGTGCTGTATCAGTCTATGACTCTATTTATCTTCATTTGGGCTGAAAGGAGGCATTCAATAGTATTTACCAGGTTCATTCCTCAGACCATAGTAAAACCTTAGGAACGTCATAACAGATATCAAGTGGACAATGACTGTGTGAGGGTGTACATCAAGATGGAGGACAGACTTTAAGCTCTGGAGTTGTTGGACTCAATGTTAAGTCCTGAAGACTGTAAAATGCCCAAACAAAAAATGAGGTGTTTTCATCTAGCTTATGTTGGGCTTCTCTGGAGCACTTCAGCAGGCCTAGGTCAAAAATGTTAACACGGCAGCAAGAAATAAGTTTATGCTTGCAGTAAGATAGAAGTTAAAATAAAAATAAAGAATGATGCAGAAAGTTCATATTCTACAAATAGAAAATTTTAAATGTCAGTTACTGATTGTAATAGAAGTAGAAATACACCATTAAAAACAGTTATACTTTATTCAACAAGGTGTAACCTTTTCCAGGTTTTTTTTAAAAACGGGTGTTTCAAAGCTTGTACTTTTAGAGACAGATACATGCTGAACAAGGAAACGGAACCTTCTAGCTTCTAAGGAAAGTGAGACTGAAACTGAGATTGAAAATTAAAACTTGAGAAAACAAAACTGGTTGAACCAAGTAAAAGGACATGACTATGCAATCTCATTTGACGATTCCATCAGAGCCATACAGACAAAACTGAAGATAGAGACTCGTCTAGAAGCTGGAAATGGCCAAATCCATATTGCTGCATACTTCTGTCACTTGAAAATAACATATTAATGCATTAGGTAGTGGGGAGGGAAGGAGTCACTGTAGTTGGAAGACAGAAAGAGAGACTATGTCACCATACCATCCAGCCTGGTTGGAGATCATCACCCAGATCAGTGCCAATTTAAAGGTGAGGAGGACTAAGCAACAGAGCAGGAAGAATGGCAATGCTTTTCTGCTCCACCAGGGTAAGTGGAATACTGCTACCTGACACTTAACTGTGCCACTGAGCATAAATTCCACTGATGCTTACGCTCTGACAGCCCCTCTGTTCAAGCAACTTACCTCACTGTCTCTTGTTACCCTCCATCCCCTACACCACTAACCCTGCATGCCATCTGCACTGCCTCCTCACTCCCTCGAAATATCTCCACACCTTTCCAGCACATGTGCCAGCTCAGCAGCTATGCCACTCCCACTTGTGTCTTACTCATTTGCCTCCTAGGAGAAGACAACCTGAAACAGGCCACACAGATGGAGATGGGGTTAGTGCCTATTACCATCTTGAAG